TAGCAAACCTAGGGTTTTTTTTGTAAATTTTTAAAATTTACCTCATAATACTCTCCTATTCAATTACCCAATATTATTCTCAAAATCCTATCCAAAATAATAAAATAAATAGACCCTTGTCACTTTGTCATTTTTCATTAAAGTTAAACAGCAAATAATCGTTAAATGTTCTTTAATTGAATAATTTGTAGCTTTTATCCTCCCATTAATAAAGTCTGGAATTTTTTTATCTTGATTGATAACATCCTTATTTTAAGAAGAACTTATAAAAATACATGAGTAAGGGCATCTCCAACCCAACATTATTTTGGTGTAAAAATATCAAAATGGCGTGAAAAAAGCCTTCAAGGTAGCACCAAACATTGTACCAATTTGGTGTCAATGTATAGTGCCACGCCAAATTTGGTGTAGCACTGTTTATGCACACCAATTTGGCGTGACACTATTCAGATAGTATAAAAAATATTTTTTTATTTTTTTATTTGTATTTAAGTTAATTTGATTATTATTTATAATAATAAATTCATAACAATTATATAATTCAAAAAATGATAAAAAATTAAAAATAAAACTTTATTCAATGCAAATATTAAACTACAATAACTTAAGGTGCTCCTCCCGCTCATTATATTATTCAAGGAAAATAGTATAATATGAGTTATTATTTAGCTGATGGTATATATCCAAAATGGTCTACTCTCGTACAAACTATTCACGATCCATGTGGTTCAAAAAAAAAAAAAAAAATCATTTGCAATGAAACAAGAAGGATGTAGAAAAGATGTAGAACGTGCGTTTGGAGTTCTCCAATCATGGTTTGCAAAATTATTCACTCATTATTTTTATTTTTTATTGGTATCATTTTATATTAGATGTAATGTTTTTCTATATTAAATGTAATATTTATTTGATTAAATAAATACTTAATTTTATTAAATTTGTATAATTTTCAAAGTAATTATTATTTAATAAAAATCTAATTCTCAATATTTAATTAATATATATATATATATAAATAATTAGTGAAATAGATTAATTATTGATTATTATACTAAAAAAAAGAGAATATTTTAAAAAAAAATTGATGTAATATTTAGTATAATAGATTGGAAATGCAATAGTGTTTCGTACTAAAAATCATACCAGATGGGTGTAATGGGTTGAATATGGTCTAAAGGGGCAAATAAGGATTTACAAGACAAAAGATTACTATGCAACAATCTAATAAAGATATTGGCTTTCAATTGGCAAATTAGCAAAAGACATTTGCCCCCCTCATTTTGATAAACGACTTAAGGACATTTGGCCCCACTCATTTTGACAAACGACTTAAACAAGGGGTTTGTGGACTAAAATTAATGATGTTAAATTGTGATAGATAAAAAAGAATACGCTGTCAACCACTATCTCTAAAAGGTGACAAATTAATTCAAATCAGTCTTATCAACCCTCGGCTCCAATTAATTCTTGATAATTACTATCCAATTAACATTAACTTCAACATTAAGCATACCACTCATTAATCACTTCCCAATTTACTTTCATTATTTGTTCAACCGTCATATTTTTTATCTCCATAAGCCTTTAAAATTCCTTGATATATATATTACTAATAAAAATTTATGATTATTCATTTAGAATGATCCAAGAGTCAAAAAGGTGCTAAATTTGTATTTAATATTAATAATATTTTTAACTATTTTTTTAAAGTTAATTACGCAAACCTTCCCTAAGGTTTTAACATTTCACAAGTCCGTAGAAAAGATAATTATGTTAACACAAACACCCCAATCCATTAACTTTCGTTAGAGTTCCATTAACTAAAAAGTTCTCTTACACCCTTGTAAATGTTATGAATAGGGTGGATATTCGACCAGGCTAACTAACCATTTTGTTTAGGTCAAAGCTTTCGTATTCAAGGCAAGGCTTTTTTGGATTTCTAAATTTGATTTGTTGTGGGTAAAATCTTCCAAACACTAAGAGAGTGCCATGTGTTATTAGAAAAGCAAACCCTCTATATCTACATTAACTCTATCAATCGTCTAATCAGTACCAACGTTTATCTTCCAATATCGATAGAAAAACATTGACAGGAAAGTGTGCGGATTGCCACTTCAACTCATTATCTGCCATAACAGAGAAGTGTACACGGAATAAAGTGATATTTGGTCGAGTGCGGCATTGCCGACTTGGCTCATCGCCTTAGTGGCGCATAAGTTATGTTGTAATAGAGAGAGCCAGAATGATAATGAATCCATTGGTTGCCCCTCACTGCCAATCGCATATGGAGAGGAAAGAGAAAATTAAGATGGCTAAGATAAAATGAAGGTTTCATACAATGTTGAGATGCAACAATTGTTGGAAATGAAAAGAGGGACTATTAGCCAAGCCCAGCTACTCGTGAGCCGGCTCGGCTCAACTCATGTAAGACTTAAAAAAACTCGGCTTAAACTCGTTATACAAATCTAGCCGAGTTCAAGCAGCATGTGGCTTGGCTCGTAGGCTCGCATACACGGGATTAGAGGGCAATATGTAATTTTTTAGTTTTTAACATTGACAAACACACCCCTACTAACATCTATAAATTTGAAATCTATCAATGACACCCCTAAAAAGTGGAACTGTGTAGGCAGCTAGTTCCAGACTTTGAAGCTTGGGCTGTTGTTAACCATCAAATCACTAAATAAATATAAATATTTAAATTTTTATTAATATCTTTTACCCTTGTGCAAAGAAAGTTTCACTCTCTCTCCTTGTTCTTCTCCCTTTCACCTCGAAACTCTCTCTCGTTTTTCTTCTCCCCTTTACACCACAACCGCCCGTTCTTCACCCACTTTTTTCTCCAACACAGCACAAAAATCTCATCTTCTTCCCTAATGTCTCTAAGACAAACCACAAGCAAAAACCACAAAATTCATCTTTCCAGCGAGCTTCGAGTGGTTCTTCTTCTTTTTAGATTTTCATTCTCAATTTTTATTAAACTCAATAAGTTCAAGTATAATTAGCTCCCAGAATGATAATAGATTTTAGAGTTGTTGCTGATTGCTACTAATATTGTTGCAATTAAAATTTTAATAGTGTTGTTGCTGATTGCTATTATCATCCATAAATAAAAAATTGTTGAGTTCTTAAAAAAAAAAAAAAAAAAAGTGCAGGTTTTCTAGTGGCTCACGAGCCGGCTCGAATTCGACTCCCTAGCCAAGCTGGAATCTCCCCTCTCCTTAAACGAGTTCAAGCAGAGTTAGAAAATCAGCGACTTGATTGGCTCGGCTCGAGTTGAAACTCGTCTCCCCCTTAATCTAGCCAAGCTTATTTAGTCTAAAACTCGGCTCGATAACAGAGAGTTTAAAGGATCATAAGGAGGAGAGTTGGTGTGACATGATTGTAAACTAATCTTCTTCTTTTAACTTTTTTTTTTTATTACAACTTTTACCCTTTTAAAGTGATACAGAGAGCTAATTAGGGGAAAAACAAAATAAAAAGACCCAACTAGTGTCATGGGGGTAAATTTATTGAAGGGCAAGATGGTAAAACACATAGGACCTAATCGGCCCAAGTAATGAAATAGGTGAAAGAGGGCCTAAAGGAGAATACAGGCTCACGAAATGACAAATGGCAAGCTCCAAATGAATTGAATTCGACCCGGAACCAAAGGGGAAGCTCAAGGCCTGAAATCGGCCCAATGATTCAAGACCCCATTTGATGTCCCAAGGAGCTCAAGCTGATGGGCTCAGACCGTCAAATAGAGTCACTTAGGTGGTTTACCTAAGATCATGGTTTATCTACCATAGGAAAGAACAATGGCCAATACTAAGGCATGCAAAGTCGACAATTAAGGCATTAGTGGGGCAAAAGAGACACTCAACAATTAACTCTCCCAAACTCCATCAAACATTCTCTATGAAGCAAATCGTTGTGCTGACATATTCAATGTATGATAACAACCCTTAATAAACATTTGCATATCAGCCAAATTGACTTTTTTAACCTCTTGTGACCTGCTCGTTCTCAAAACTCGAAAAAAGCTCATCTGATTTAGACGTTCGAAGTTTAACATCAATGACACCTACACTAATCCCCTTTAACATATTTTAGAGTATCTCCAAATGATTCTTTATATGACTTAAACTCTTTGTTATAAATAGTTTATCTATAAAAATAAGAGTTCAACATGCTTTTTATCTTTAAAATATAAATTAGAGAGTGAGTTTGACTCTTCATATTTAGAGAGTTAAATTTCACTCTCTATCTTAATTTTAATTAATAAACTACAAGTTCATATACATTTTATTTATTAATTCGCTCTCCCATTAAGTCTCATTCTTAAAAATAAAGAGCATCTTCATTAAATTTAAAGAATCTATTGGATTTGAATAAAAATTATGTTATTTATATTTAAAAATTAACGAAAATACTCTTTATTTATATAAAAGATGTTCTTCATAATAAAGAGCACCGTTAAAGATGCTCTTATATATACATAGGAGAGAATCATGATTCATGCACCATAAGTTGGCGAGAAGGCTCTTGGGACCAGAGTGCTTAGCTTGAAAGAACCAAAATCTATGCCCCAACGTCAACAGAAATTAATAACGATTCATTTCTATGGAAAGATATAAACATAATTTTTTTTTTAAATTTATTTAGTTTTTAAATACGATATTATTCACATTTTATATTATTATTTATAAAGAAAATTATTCAAATTGAAAAAACACATCTTCTCCTTTTATTATAAAACAATGATTTTTTACACCTATAGGTGCACTACGTTTGCCAAACAGGAGTGGCGGTCCAATAATAAGTCAATATATTTATTATATTGTTGCGTATTAATCTTTCTCTCGGCCGGCACCAACAATTTCTTCTGGTTACACACATCAAGGGAGTATTTAATTAAATGATCTTCATTTTCAACATATGTACACATACACCAAAACCAATTCAACGCAAGCTGCCCTGACCTGTGTTATATAAAACCTAGGCATTGTCTCTTCCAGTTCAGCGAGCCCCATTTTTTATTGTCTCAACGCAAAAGAAATTTTGAAAAAACAAAGATGGATTTGAAGTCAGTAGTTGATAAACCTCACGCTGTTTGTATTCCATATCCAGCTCAAGGTCACATTAATCCAATTCTCAAGCTGGCAAAACTCCTTCACCTGAAAGGCTTTCACATAACCTTTGTCAACACTGAATACAATCATAGACGTTTACTCAAGTCAAGAGGCCCCAAGCTTCTTGAAGGTCTGCCTGACTTTCGCTTTGAAACCATCCCGGACGGTCTCCCTTTTTCTGACGCCGATGTCACCCAAGACACTCCTTCTCTTTGTGACTCCACCTCCAAGTATTGCTTTGCCCCTTTTTGCAATCTTATTCGTAAACTCAATGATACTTCATCTTCCAAAGTCCCACCCGTCACTTGTATTGTCTCAGATGGTTCCATGGCCTTCACTGTCGATGCTGCTGAAGAGTTCGGAATCCCTGATGTACTTTTCTGGACACCGAGCGCCTGTGGCCTTCTATGCTATACGCAGCTCCATCTTCTTGTTGAAAGAGGTTTAACACCGCTTAAAGGTATGATACTAAATGATTAACAACCAAAGTCTCAGCTTTTTTATTTCTCATTGATAGATTCTCAGTTCAAGAACGATGCTTTAATATCTTGATAGTGAACTTTTTTTTTGTTTGGCTTCCTAAACAGATGTTAGCTACCTCACCAACGAGTATCTGGAAACTACTGTAGACTGGATTCCGGGGATGAAAAGTATTCGTTTACGGGATTTTCCGGCTTTCATTAGAATTACAGATGCAAATGACATCATGGTCAATTACATCATCAGGGAAATTCAGAAAGCTTCCAAGGCTTCTGCCATCGTTTTGAACACGTTTGACTCCTTGGAACAAGCTGTTTTAGATGCCCTCTCAGTCCTGCTGCCTCCTATTTACACCATTGGTCCCCTTCCGTTGCTTACCCGTCAGATTGCGGATGGAAAATTAAATTTCGATCTGAGTTTGTGGAAAGAACAGTTTGACACAGTAGAATGGCTCGATTCGAAGGAACCCGGCTCTGTGGTGTATGTAAATTTCGGAAGTATCACTGTCATGACTCCAGAACAACTCATTGAGTTTGCTTGGGGACTAGCTAATAGCAAAATGCAATTTCTGTGGATAATAAGGCCCGATCTTGTTGCTGGTGACTCAGCAGTTCTTGCACCAGAGTTTCTCACTGAAACCAAGGACAGAGGCATGTTAGCTAGCTGGTGTCCGCAAGAGAAAGTGCTAAACCACCCATCAGTAGGAGGATTTTTAAGTCACATGGGATGGAATTCAACGATTGAAAGTATAAGCAATGGCGTGCCAATGGTTTGCTGGCCATTTTTTTCTGAGCAACTGACCAATTGTAAGTATGCTTGTAATGAATGGGGAATTGGATTAGAGATTAATAATAATGTAAAGAGAGATGAAGTAGAAAAGCTTGTGCGTGAGTTGATGCAGGGAGAGAAGGGTAAAGAAATGAAAAAGCGAGCAGTAGAGTGGCAATTGAAGGCAGAAAAGGCTAGTGCGCCTGGTGGTTCTTCATACCAAAACCTCGAGAAACTAATTGTACAAGTGCTATTAGAAAAGCATATAAATTGAGGGAGTTGTTGCTGCGTCTGTGTCAATGCATATATATATATATACACTAATTTTGCTAGTCTTTCTTTGGGGTTGAAACTGTTTGTCGCATGCATTCCCACATGTTCAATTTTTCAAGTGTTTGGTATTATCTTTGTGGACATATTGCCTTGCTTTAATCAATCTTCTGTGTTATGTTTCAAATGTATGAAATATGATAATCACTAAACATTACTCAAATGATATAAAAAAAAAAAATTAAATAAAGTCGAGTAACGAGGAATAGAACTGTAATTAAATGATTAATCATGCACATATAGAATTTTAGAGTACTTTACATACGTGTTGTTCTCCATTCCAGGAATCCAGTCTACAACACTGTCTAAATAGCCATTTTCCAGATAGGATTCATCTGTAAAACCACAAAATTAATTAATTAGTTCTAAATATTTGATGGTGGGTGCATGTGAAGGGCGCCCAATATTGGATGAATTGTAAACTGAATAATATCATGGTAGCTTAAATTACTATTAAAAACTACTTATAGAGATTATTACAATTTAAATAAGCTTATATATATTTTTCTATTTAGAAAAATGCAAACCATTTGGTTATGGGATAACTCTTAGCATCAGATATTCATGCAAAGGTTTCATTACATTCCAAAGCTAAATATTATTGAATCAGAGATTTAGTTTACAAACTAAATAATCTAACGATTTTAAACCAGTGTGATAAATTATTATGCCAAGATTGATGAGGAGAAAAGAGATTGAGAAAGAAATTATAAGTTGAAAGAGACTAATACTAGATTAGGTAAGGTTTATATTTTAATTTAATACACCAAAGTATTACATTCTAAAGTGTATATAAACACACTTATAATTAACGTGAAAAACAAGGGAAAATCATCAATACATTCATATTTCCCTCTGAATTTAATCTCTTTCTCTTCTTCCTTCCTTCATCTTTCATTCTGAATTTGTGTTTCCTTTTTAGTTGTTTATTTTCTTTAATCGATCCTTAGTTTAAACTTCAAGAATGGGTATTACTTGGATATCTCGTTTGCCCTGATGAGCTGCTTCACGTTACTAGCATTGATATTGCTCTGGTAACACCTAATGTTATGTAATTTCTTCTTTTGAGTTTCATAATCCTATTTATGCCCATTGTTAACTCTTGTCTGTCTCTGTCTCTTATATCTCGAAAGCCTTTAAAAGTAGTAGCTATTTGTCTTGGTTCACAAATGACTTGGGATGGCATTCGATATTGTCATGTTAAGGCTAAATAGGGAATATTATGTAATTGTTATTTATTTCTATTTGAGAGATATGTCTGACCACAGATCTATGGCATTCAGGCAACCAGAGGATGGAATACATGGTTTTGACTGGGCATTGGATTGATGATCATTGGAAGTTTAATAGACGGGTGTTAAACTTTATTCATTTACCTCCTCCCCATTCTGGTGTTGCCATTGCTGATGCAATTTTCAAGTGTTTGATGGATTGGGGAATTGAAGCTAAGGTCCATACGATATCGGTGGATAATGCTTCAAGCAATGATGTTGCTGTAAAAGTGTTGAAAGATAATTTCCAAGTTATAGGGAAGCTCATATGTGGTGGCAAGATGTTTCATGTGAGGTGTTGTGCACATATCTTGAACCTGGTTGTTCAAGATGGTCTTTATCAGATTAAACACATTATTGAGGACATCCGTGATACTGTGTCGTATATCAATTCATCGGAGAGTAGACTAAAGGTGTTTGCAGAGATTGTTCAACAGCGCCGATTGCCATTTCGCAAACTTATTCTTGATTGCAAAACGCGATGGAATTCAACATATGATATGTTGACAACAGCAATGCAATTTAGGCGTGTTTTCCCTTGTTTGAAGGAGAGGGATTTGAGTTATCATTATTGTCCCAAGGAGGAAGATTGGGATAAAGTTGAGAAAATTTGTCCTATTTTGAAGGTGTTTAGTGCTGCGTCGAATCTGATATCAGGGAGTGATTATCCGACATCAAACTTGTTTCTAAAACAAGTTTGTACAATAAAAATTATGTTGGATAGTAAGAGTCGGGATGGAGATCAGTTTATACAGACCATGATTTGGAAAATGAAAGAAAAGTTTGACAAATATTGGGGAGAATGTAATCTATTGATGAGTGTGGCTGCTATTTTGGACCCCAGATTGAAGATGAGGGTAATTGAATGGGCGTTCCCTAAGATGTATTCTCAGGCTGAATCGCGGGCAAATATGGATATTGTTCGAGATGCCTTGTATGAGGTATATAGGGAGTATGTTGATGCCAGTAAAGCATCGACAGCTGCCTGCGCTTCTGCATCTACAGGGGGTGCAATTCAGGAGGTTGGTGAGGGGTCAGGGGCAGCGGCAGAGATGGCGGAAAATTGGGATGATTTTAGTGAGTATCTGGATGGGGTTGAGACGGTTGAGCCAACGAAATCGGAGTTAGACTGTTACCTTGGAGAGGGATGCCATAAATGTGTTGGGGATGCTACGACATTTGATGCTTTGACCTGGTGGAAGGCTAACTCAACAAAGTTCCCTATCTTGTCTATCATGGCTCGAGACATATTAGCCATTCCTATTACTACGGTTGCTTCTGAGTCTACTTTCAGCGCCGGCAGTAGGGTTATTGACACATACCGATCGTCGTTGGCTCCCAACACGGTGGAGATGCTCTTATGTGGATGTGACTGGAGCAGGACATTGAATGGGGTGAAGAAAGGATGTAAAGTAGGTTACATACTTATATTGAATATTGTTTTTATTAAATTTAGTTATTACTTTATATTTATATTAACTAAACTTAAAATACTCCTCCTTTGTCATTTTCAGGAAGAGCAGCAACCGTTGGAGATCAACCTTCCTATCCCGTAAGTTTCTGGGATTTAGAGCATGATTTGACTGTGGTAGGAGGCATGCATAGGTAAAACTTTTATTCCTTTTGCTTTTGTTTCATGATTATACGTATTTTTTTCTTGTCATAGTTATCTTAAAAAATACTTATTAAATTGAACATTTTCTAGAGGCAGGGGGAAATTGTGGTTTTCATCGAACTCATGCCTACTACAGTCCTACTGGTGGATAGTGATTTTGATTGGTGGATTGTATATGTACTCCTAAGAATGTTATTTGTATATATTCAGAACTGTTTTTTGATTTTGTAAGGTAATAGACTATTTGTAATGCTCGGAACTATCATGGTTAATTCAACATTGGATGTTAATTCAAAATTGAGACTCGAGCTCGAGCCTGACGAGCCTCAAAATTGAGACTTGAGCTCAAGCTCGACAAGGGCTCGCGAGCTCGTTATCGAGCCGGCTCGAGCTCGACTCGAGCTCGACCGAGCTCGAGCTCGAGTCTCAATTTTGAGGCTCGTCAGGCTCGAGCTCGAACTCGAGCTCGACACTGTTGTAAACGAGCCGAGCTCGATAAGCCAATAGCTCGGCTCGGCTCGGCTCGTTTACACCCCTAGTACAAGGTTTGAAGTGCAAGCTATTAAATTTTGGAAATTAGAATAAGAACCTAATTATGAAACCCAACTTTAAGCCCTCTGCCATCGTTTTGAACGCGTTTGACTCCTTGGAACAAGCTGTTTTAGATGCCCTCACAGTCCTGCTACCTCCTATTTACAACATTGGTCCCCTTCCGTTGCTTACCCGTCAGATTGCGGATGGAAAATTAAATTTCGATCTGAGTTTGTGGAAAGAACAGTTTGACACAGTAGAATGGCTCGATTCAAAAGAACCCGGCTCCGGAACAACTCATTGAGTTTGCTTGGGGACTAGCTAATAGCAAAATGCAATTTCTGTGGATAATAAGGCCCGATCTTGTTCCTGGTGACTCAGCAGTTCTTGCACCAGAGTTTCTCACTGAAACCAAGGACAGAGGCATGTTAGCTAGTTGGTGTCCGCAAGAGAAAGTGCTAAACCACCCATAAATAGGAGGATTTTTAAGTCACATGGGATGGAATTCAACAATTGAAAGTATATGCAATGGAATACCAATGGTTTGTTGGCCATTTTTTAGACCAAATGTATGTATGCTTGTAATGAATGGGGTATTGGATTGGAGATTGATAATAATGTAAAAAGAGATGAAGTAGTGAAGCTTGTGAGTCAATTGATGCAGGGAGAAAAGGGTAAAAAAATGAAAAAGCGAGCCGTCGAGTGGCAGATGAAGGCAGAAGAGGCTGCTGCACCCGGTGGTTCTTCGTACCGAAACCTTGAGAAACTAATTTTTGAAGTTCTATCTCAGAAGCATATATATTGAGGGAGTTGTTGCTGTGTCTTCTTCAATAAATAGATAAATAATAAAATAAATAAATATTAGGCTTTACCCTGCCGTCAAGCTCTGCTATTACTTCCATCAGACAATAATGTAGAATGACTCTTTTACCCTAAGATTTGACTTAGTTTTTATATCTTACAATATTAAATGGGCTCTATTCTCTTTCTTTCTTTTAACTCCCCAAAAGTCGTAATTCCTCCACAATATTTTTCGCAACCGCCTCCATCTCACTACCTCCCAACCCTATTTCCTCCATCTTGCCGTGTAGTGCCTCCTCATCCCATCTCACCCATTGTGTTTGTCCACCCTATTTCCGCCACTGCATCTGCTCCTCCGCCACAAATCTCTCACCATCAACCAACCCAGCCCCACATTGCAAACCCCACATATTCAACAAACCTTATTTTCTCTAATTTGGGCTTTTACTCCTTAATTTTCTGTTCCCTTTAATCTTACAATGTATGTTTTGTGCATGAGACTAAAGAAAAAAAATCATATTATTATTATCTGAAAGTATAAGGTTGGTTTTCATAAAGTATCCCCAAAGTAAGCATCTAAGATATGGTCGTCGTTTGGCCGTCATTGAAAACTAGTTTTTTTATTGTCATTTGGCCATCAACGATGGTCAACATACGACCATTGTCAACAGTTAGATCGGCGTATGATCAACTAGACCCAAACACATTCAACAATGGCCACCCTTGCTTGTTTTTTGTAGGTAAAAAACTATTATTTTCATCACATTTTCAGTACACATCATGCACAGCAAAACTCTATACTTTCCCCTATATAATAACTTAAAACCTAATACCTCTTCATCATATCAAACATTTTCTTTTCTCTACAAACACATTCTTGCTTGTTTTTGGTCTAAAGATCGAAATTCTTAATGATAGTTAGTTGTATTATCCTATTTTCGCAATAATAGCTTGTTTTACAATCGGATTAATTGCATTTTATATGTTTCGGATTTATTTACTTACTTTTGAAGGACATTTCAACATTGGTTTTCAAAATTACGGTCGCAAAAAAACAACTCCTTCTATTCAATATCGACATGGGGTGAAGAAGAGTCAAAGTTTATTAAAAAAATATGATACATTATTGAGGTTGAAGGGTTGATTAGATTAGAAGAATTTATTACTACATTGCCAACAGTGTCATTATAAGTCTCATAACATTATCTTATCGATATTCTTATATCAAATATGTCGGTTCCATGTATCAATGTATTTTCAGTAATATCGGTATTTGATGGTCAAAAACTTAGTTGCAATAATTAAAAGACGGTAACACTTTTCAATAACAGCGAACGTATTTAACATTAAATGATCTCACATAGAGCAAATAGTGGGCCTTTTGATTTGACACTCTACAAGCTTCTAAGGCCCATTAACATCATTTTCTATTTCTTAGTTTAAAATTTAAATTTGAAAGCGTCCTACCTAAATATAATATTAATATCATATAGTTGTATGATATTTAGGTAAGATGACAAAAGACTTTCAAACTAATAACATAATCTTCATCAAAAAAATTATTGATTTTGATATAGCATAGCCAAATTTGAATTAGACTATTGTTTACTTATTTTAAATCAAAGTAAAGACACATGTATGTATGAGTTCATATAAGTTCAATTATTTATTTGACTCTTATATATACATTACAAAATGATATTGTATTGTTTTATATTTTAATAATAATAATTGATTATATAGATAAATCCAAAGAGGCTAAGTTGGTCTAGGTCTAAATTCAGATTCAAATTCAACTTCAATGATAAACTTGTCCTTAACCCTTATAAAACCCATATGACATCTTTAATTTTTATGTTATAAATGACAAAGGAAGGAATCAAATATTTTTGGTTAAAGCCACTAATCTCCCTAAGGTATAATATAATAACAAAAATTCCCTCAAGGTTTCGAAAATAATAAAAATCTCTTCATTATTAAGTTTTATGTGTTAAAATAAGCGGTAAGAGGGCAATTTGGTGATATTCACTAAGGGTCTGCTTGAGAGTTTCATGGTAGCGGTTATGAGGGTAATCCACCGTAGCGATTTTGAGAGGTTTTTAGTAGCAGTTTTTAAAACATCTAACTTGTGCTTGGGAGTTTATTTTCCAACAGTCGTGACAATTAATTTACATATATGCATATAAAAATACCCAACTTCAACTAATTCTTGGGAGTTTTGTTTTTTCAATTACAAGGTTAAAGTTTTTTATTTGTTTTCTACTTGTTAGTATTTTATAACTTCAAATGTGATAAAGTCTCATTATCCTTTTTCGTCATTCTTTGCAACATCTAGAATGATTGAAAAATTGTAGCTCCACTTCTCTAAGAAAGCATCTAGAAGTGAGATTTTAATATTTTTTTTTTGGATGATTGCTTAAAATTATTTTATATTTAATATGGTTAGAGATGCACATAATATGGTAAAATTTTTTTTTTTAGATATAATTGAGATAGTTTTGTAGTGGATAGGGTATTTGTAGAATAAAATTTTAAAACCAACCAAACCACCCTGATTTGGGGTGTTTTATGAATCCCTTAAAAATACGCTACACTGGTTCTAGGGAGTTTTTGAGCCAGTCAAAACCAGTGCATAAAAAATCTAACAAGTAATAATTTTAGAACACCTCAAAACTATTCTAATTAAAAACCCTTCAAACCAGTGGAAAAAAAAAAACTCCAAAGTAGACCCTAACTCACAACAATATAAATTTTAACGGCTTACAAAGAGCTCATTAACAATAGGGGGATTTATGTTATTTCGGAAACTTCAAGGGGATTTTGTTATTATATCAATCATACCTTAGGGGGATTAAGGTTTCAAAAATAATAGAAATTCCTATGTGTTAAGTTTTAGGTGTTAAAATAAACAGTAAAAGCGTAATTTAGTAATATTTACTAACTCATAACAATATAATTTGAACAACTCACTAACAATTCATTAATGACAAAGGAAATTTTGTTATTTCTAAAATCTTAATTGGATTTTTGTTATTATATCAAACCTTAAGGGGATTAATGTAATTACTCCCTCCGTTTCCTTTTAATTGTCGTTTTAAGACTTTTTAAAATTTTCAAAATTAAAGTCGTTCTGCCTTTGTCTTGTCTGCACCTTTCATCATGCCTTCTCCACTTTTTATCATCCCTCTCTCTTTCCATTCCATCTTGTCATTTCTCTACTTTTTGCCTCTGTCTTCTTTAATTTTTATCTTTATCTTATCTCTTCCCCTCTTCTCATCTCTTCCTTATTTTCCATCGCCACTTCTTCTTTCTCTAATCTGTCTCTGCTTCCATCTTTTCTCTCTTTTTCTTGTCTTCCTTCTATATGTTCCTCTCTCCACTTATTTGAAGCACCCTATCGTCTTCAATCTCCACCTTCACTTCCTCTTTCTTGAGCCCTAGAAAATCAGCCTTGAACTCGTGAGCTTTTGGGGTTTCCTTCCAGTCCACACGGCTGTTAACAAAGGCTGAAGTTTCTTGAGGGAGTTGAGAGGAGAGTGACGATACAGATGATGGGAAAGGAAAATCCTTGAATGAGTTACAGACAGCACGGAAAGAGAAGATGTCTATACGTGTGGCGAGGCGTTTAGCAATGGCGTTGAGGAGAAGTGCAGGGAGAGTGGACTAGTCTGGTTGAGTGGTGTCCATGGGAGAAAATGGGCGTTTGTGGCAGTTGCGTAGTAGATTTGAGTTTAGAAATTTGTGATGTTTTTTTTTCTTGTCAAAATCAATTTGTGATGCTGTTGCATTATTGTCAAATTTGTGATGTCAAATTTGCGTTTGTGGCTTAATTTTTGTGACTTTTGCCTATGTTTTGTTTTAGCCTATGCTGCGGGGCCTTTGATGTTGAGAAGGGCATGTAGCTGACCCAAGGGTGTGTGCTTTGCAGTAGTTTTGCTGTGGTGAGTCTTGGTTTTTCTGCTAGTTGGGGATTGAAGCTTTTGTTGGATTTCCTTAAGGTGGCTGGAATTTTGACACTTTTTGGCTGCAAACCTTTATGTACAGACTGTGTAGTTTAATTTGTGCCTAGATGGCTTGCTTTTTTTATTGCCGGCCTTTTTTTGTCCATGTATAGACTATATAATGAAAATTCATTAGCTTATCCCTCTTTACTTATCCATTATGAAGGTTCAGCAAATTCATTCAATGTATTTGAATAATATAGAAATGCATATTTCATGTAGAAGTTTCAATGCAACCACAAACAAACAAAAAGATTTTTCACAGTTTATCATTACAAATGATCTGCAACATAATTTTTACAACTTACCATAAGAAGAATTCGTCAGGCAGATACCAGTTGATTGGATATACAACAATATATCCAAGGAACAATGATGTTCATGAATTTCCTCTTAGAAAATGCCAACCACCATTTATTTGGAGTGCCATTGGGTCTATATGTAACACTCTACAGTCTCCCACTTGTTTCCTCTCTTATCTGCTTCAGATAATTCCTAAATAGCTCTGCATTTTAGACTCCAAAATTTAAAAACAAATCAACAGATCAATGTCTAAGTATACTCAAAGCAGCCAATCACATCCCATTGTAAAAGGGATTGTGCATAAGAATGAAACTGAACATTTGACAGTTTACAGAAATGCCAACATACCATACAATAATATGATTGTGAAATAAGTAATTCTAGATTGAGATTAATGCATACAGATAAATAAAATGTTGTTTTTTTTATACCTAATGCCTAGTAGAAAAGAAACTATTTTCCAATGTTATAAACTTGAACAACTTTTATTAAGAACTTCAGACTGTAATGCCATATGATGATGCAGTAGGTCATGCCAAAAATAAAATCGATCATTCAAGGGGAAGATTCCACATTAGATTCAGACAATCTATTCAAAAGACCTGAAACATTTTGAAATATATAAAGTATGTCAGATTTCAATTTCAAGATATAAATTTTAAAATTCATCCAAAACCATCATCCTCTCCCCGTATTTTCTGATTTGGGAATTAAATCACCATCATTCTCGCCTTCTAGTCCCTGCTCCATTGATTTTCTCTTCTTAGGTTTCTTCTTGGCAGGTTGTTCTTCATAGGACCTGCAGAAAAGATTAGATTTGTATATGGTTGTTTACTTCATTATCTAAATATCATCGATCTCAGTTTAAGGTAAAGATGATTTTCTATATGTGCATCTTTTGGTAGGCAGAGTGACACAAGAAAGTGTAGTGTACAGCTTTGGCACCTTGTTATATATTACCATAATAAAAGCTTATATCACAAAATAGAACAAGTTCTTTTCTTGTATGTTGGAGTAGAATTTCTTTACAGCAAAAAAAAAAAAAAAAATCAAAATGAAACGCAAACTACTCCTAAAAGACAATATCTTATTAGAACCCATATGAACATCATGGACAAAACAAAAATAGTCTTCAATACTAAATAGGTCAATTGTAACACTTATTGACATTGAGCAATTGCTTCTCCAATTAACGCGGGGTCAACATCTAACTGCTTAGGAAGGCAATTTTGTCTCTCCAAACTGTGTTTTTTCATGTGCGGAACCTTATATTTGTTCGAACCTCTGGCTTTCAAAATTGAAATCATACATGACTGTAAAGTTAAAAACGTATGATTCAATTTTTTTGGCAAGTATTCATAAAATGACTTCTGAATAGCCTCTATGAGCACATCTATAGAGTTGGGTGCCTGTTGGTATTGTAGTCCCTGTATCGCATTAAAAAAACCAAGGTCTAGAACATTCATATCTGGAGAATTCGTTGGTTGATAGATCAAACGTATGTCGAAGCCATCCTTAGTAGCATTACTTTGAAAATACTCATCATCCAAACCAATATGAGGTTTCGCATTGTCTTGTTGGATAAATATTGGACTTCCTGCATCAATTCTTGGCCACTTATCTCGGATAGCCGGCAAGAGTTTCTTAATTATGTAAGATCGATAAATTTCCTTATTGATAGAATTGATTGTTTTAGTCTCCATGGTTCCGGCAAAACGATTTTTACTACTCCTCCTTGCAGGTTCTTTATTTATGAAAGGAAATATCCCGATTTTTCCAGAAAATAATTCATTCCTTGATTCATCAAACCTTAGGCATGTCACTGTAGCCAGAAACATGACTTTAGTAATAAAAGTCTTACTCTTACATGTGCGTAAAGGCTCGTCTTCGTCAGGCAGGAGGTAATACTTCTCTGACTGCTTTGTCATGTAGAACCACTTCTCATCAACATGAATAATATTTTCCATGGTTACAAACCTCAAACAACTGGGGTTGTTGCCATGTTCAATCATCGATAAACAAAAGCGTATTCTAGCTTTCATGTTTTCCACATTTAATAAAGGTTTTATACCATTTGAATGATGATGTATGGAGCCCTCTTTTAATCGCCTAAACAATGTTGTCACTGACAAATTTGTGACAACAGATAAAGACCTCAGTGACGTCCTTCTTCGCAATAGAATATTTCAAAATTGACTGACGTCAATTTCAAGATGCTTACGCCCACAATTGAGTGCCTTTCTGCTAGATACATTAGTGTTAGAATCCATAACTTCATTTTCTTTTCCCCGTTGCCAAATGCGTTGGACTGTACGCATACTAATTGAAAATAATTGAGCCACCTCAGATGTAGTGTTTTTCTTCAATTGTCCATTAACACTTTGCTTCAATAGAGATTCAAAAATTGCTTGTCTTTGTTCATTTGTAAGGTTTTTTCGACTCACATGTGTATTAACTTTCTCGGTTATGTCATCAACTTCATTCGTAGCTTCTAATGTTGGAAGAACATTTAAATCAATTTCTCCAAGTACACCTCTACTATTACATTGTTCGACCATGGTGACTGACCGAACAGAATCAAAAAGAACAGAAATGAGTGAGGGACGAAAAAAATTAAAGAACTGGAGCAATGTAAAAGAAAAGAAACAGATGAAGTTGGTGGGAGAAACAAATGAATAAGACAAAATTGTTAAAAATGTTATTTAAATAAGCAAGAATGTTTCCCACTTTCAAAGTCTCTCCCACCTGCAAAATCAGGGAAAAAATGGTGAGAGAGAGAATTTTTCTTTTTTATTAAAACTTGTACCCACACCTAAAACGTCAATTAAAAGAAAACGGAGGGAGTAACTCATAAGAAAATTGTAAAGTAAGAAAGTGAGGGTCAAAGACGCAGACCTTGAGGTACAACAAAATAACAAAAATTCCTCCAAAATTTCAAAAATAACAAAAATATTAATGTTGTTAAGTTTTTTTATGTTAAAATAAACAGTAAAATGATAATCTAATAATATTTTCTAACTCATAACCAAATAAATTTTAAAGATTTATTAACAATTCATTAATAGTTAAGAGTATTTTTATTATTTCATGGTAGCGGTTATGAGTTCAAAGGAGGAGGGTTGGTGTGACATGATTGTAAACTAATTTTCTTCTTTTAACTTTTTTAAGTACAACTTTGACCCTTTTAAAGTGGTACAGAGAGCTAGCTAGGAAAAAAAATTAAAAAGACTCAAATAGTGTTATGGGGGTAAATGTACTAAAGGGCAAGATGGTAAAACATACAAGGACCTAATCAGCCCAAATAATGAAATAGGTGAAAGAGGGCCTAAAGGAGAATACAGACTCAAGAAATGACAAATGGCAGGCTCCAAATGAATTGGATTCGACCTGGAACCAAAGGGGAAGCTCAAGGCTCAAAATCGGCCCAATGATTCAAGACCCCATTTGATATCCCAAGGAGCTCAAGCCGAAGGGCTCAGACCGTCAAATAGAGTCACTTAGGTGGTTTACCTAAGATCATGGTTTATCTACCATAGGAAAGAACAATGGCTAATATTAAGGGAGTAAATGACATATTCCCACCCAAGGCTTGATGAAATCCAAGTTGGTACCCCAAGTTCCATTTATTCCAGATTCCCACCCTTAAAGTAACAAAAAATGGTTAGATATAACGGCTCAGGGGTAAATTGGTCATTTGCACATTAGTAGATCGCCGCCCCTAACAAAGCTCTAGTGCACATTAGCCAACATCATTGCCGATGTTTTTTGCCCTTTTCCGACGATTCTTCCACCCAAAATCACCCTTGTCACCACCATTTGAACCCTTATCCTCCCCTCTATAAAACCTCATCCTTCACAACCCCTAATCACTCGCTGATCGCTAACCACTACAGCCGCCACATGCGGCTAGTTTTTGTCGATCTCCACTGGTGAATGGCCACTAAACAATTGCTGGGGACATAGGGGTTTGTAGATTTGGAGACGCTTGTTGCAGTGGTGATGTCCAATTGGATTTTTGTCGTCGGAATCGATCGAAATCCAGTGAACAACGACGAAAACCTAAGTCTAACGGCACCAGCAATTGGAGGGCCCAATGAGTAGAGAACCAGAGGGGTTTTGGACGATGGACGATGGGGAAGGTGATGGAGGTGACCAGGGGGTTCGCCGCCATCGAAAACAGCCCAGATCCAATGAAAACCGAGACAGTGTGCAGTCATTGAGGGTGTAATTGAAGTAATTTGAAAATAAGATGGTTAATTATAATTTTTGTAATTTAGGGGTTAAAGCATAATTTATTAATTTAGGGTTAAGGGTATTATGGTAATTACACCCTCACTATCCTAAAAATTGTTAAAAATGTTATTTTAAGGGTAAGAATCTGGAATAAATAGAACTTGGGGTACCAACTTGGGATTTTGTCAAACCTTGGGTGGGAATATGTCGTTTTCTCATACTAAGGCATGCAAAGTTGACAATTAAGGCATTAGGGGGGCAAAAGAGACACTCAACAATTAACGCTCCCAAACTCCATCAACTATTCTCTATGAAGCAAATTGTTGTGCTGACATATTCAATGTATGACAACAACCCTTAATAAACATTTGCATATCAGCCAAATTGATTTTTGTTAACCTCTTGTGACCTGGTCGTCCTCAAAACTCGAAAAAAGCTCATCTGATTTAGGCGTTGGAAGTTTAACGTCAATGGCACCTGCACTAATCCCCTTTAACCTATTTTATATGTGCATAGGAGAGAATCATGCACGATAAGTTGGGACCAGAGTGCTTAGCTTGAAAGGACCAAAATCTACGCCTATGATGTTTCGAACGTCAACATAAATTAATAACGATTCATTTCTATGGAGATATAAACATAATTTTTTTTTAAATTTATTTAGTTTTTAAATACGATATTAGTCACATTTTATATTATTATTTATAAAGAAAATTATTCAAATTGAAAAAACACCTCTTCTCCTATTGACACTCCTTATAAAACAATGACTTTTTACAACTATCTATAGGTGCACTACGTTTGTCAAACAGGAGTTGCGGTCCAATAATAAGTCAATATATTTATTATATTGTTGCTTATTAATCTTTCTCTCGGCCGGCACCAACAATTTCTTCTGGTTACAAACATCAAGGGAGTATTTAATTAAATGATTTTCTTCATTTTCAACATATGTACGTATACACCAAAACCAATCCAACGCAGGCTGCCCTGACCTGTGTTATATAAAACCTAGGCATTGTCTTTTCCGGTTCAGCGAGCCCCATTTTTTACTGTCTCAGCGCAAAAGAAATTTAGAAAAACAAAGATGGATTTGAAGTCAGTAGTTGATAAACCTCACGCTGTTTGTATTCCATATCCAGCTCAAGGTCACATTAATCCAATTCTCAAGCTGGCAAAACTCCTTCACTTGAAAGGCTTTCACATAACCTTTGTCAACACTGAATACAATCATAGACGTTTACTCAACTCAAGGGGCACCAACCATCTTGAAGGCCTGCCTGACTTTCGCTTTGAAACCATCCCGGACGGTCTTCCTTTTTCTGACGCCGATGTTACCCAAGACACTCCTTCTCTTTGTGACTCCACCTCCAAGTATTGCTTTGCCCCTTTTTGCAATCTTATTCGTAAACTCAATGATACTTCATCTTCCAAAGTCCCACCCGTCACTTGTATTGTCTCAGATGGTTCCATGGCCTTCACTGTCGATGCTGCTGAAGAGTTCGGAATCCCTGATGTACTTTTCTGGACACCGAGCGCCTGTGGCCTTCTATGCTATACGCAGCTCCATCTTCTTGTTGAAAGAGGCTTAACACCGCTTAAAGGTATGATACTAAATGATTAACAACCAAAGTCTCAGCTTTTTTATTTCTCATTGATAGATTCTCAGTTCAAGAACGATGCTTTAATATCTTGATAGTGAACTTTTTTTTTTTGTTTGGCTTCCTAAACAGATGTTAGCTACCTCACCAACGAGTATCTGGAAACTACTGTAGACTGGATTCCGGGGATGAAAAGTATTCGTTTACGGGATTTTCCGGCTTTCATTAGAACTACAGATGCAAATGACATCATGGTCAATTACATCATCAGGGAAATTCAGAAAGCTTCCAAGGCTTCTGCCATCGTTTTGAACACGTTTGACTCCTTGGAACAAGCTGTTTTGGATGCCCTCTCAGTCCTGCTGCCTCCTATTTACACCATTGGTCCCCTTCCGTTGCTTACCCGTCAGATTGCGGATGGAAAATTAAATTTCGATCTGAGTTTGTGGAAAGAACAGTTTGACACAGTAGAATGGCTCGATTCGAAGGAACCCGGCTCTGTGGTGTATGTAAATTTCGGAAGTATCACTGTAATGACTCCAGAACAACTCATTGAGTTTGCTTGGGGACTAGCTAATAGCAAAATGCAATTTCTGTGGATAATAAGGCCCGATCTTGTTGCTGGTGACTCAGCAGTTCTTGCACCAGAGTTTCTCACTGAAACCAAGGACAGAGGCATGTTAGCAAGTTGGTGTCCGCAAGAGAAAGTGCTAAACCACCCATCAATAGGAGGATTTTTAAGTCACATGGGATGGAATTCAACAATTGAAAGTATATGCAATGGAATACCAATGGTTTGTTGGCCATTTTTTGCTGAACAGCAGACCAACTGTATGTATGCTTGTAATGAATGGGGTATTGGATTGGAGATTGATAATAATGTAAAGAGAGATGAAGTAACGAAGCTTGTGAGTGAATTGATGCAGGGAGAAAAGGGTAAAAAAATGAAAAAGCGAGCCGTCGAGTGGCAGATGAAGGCAGAAGAGGCTGCTGCACCCGGTGGTTCTTCGTACCAAAACCTTGAGAAGCTAATTTTTGAAGTTCTATCTCAGAAGCATACATATTGAGGGCGTTGTTGCTTTGACTTCTTCAATAAATAGATAGATAATAAAATAAATAAATATTAGGCTTTA